CCCCCCCCCCCCCCCCTCCCCGTCCAGGGACACGCCCCTGCCTCCTCTGCTCGGACCCATAAAGAACGCTAACTGGCTAATCCCTAGCACTGTTCCGCAGCCGCGGATAAAACCCAGCCAGTGGGCAAACCCACTTCTAGCACCGGGCATGAGCAGCCTTGTCAGGGAGCAAAGGGGCAAGGGCTGCCGAAAGGCCTAGCAAGGAAGAGGAAGCCCCGTGAACGGGTTATAAAGCGCTAGTTTTATTCATTTTTCAATAAAGAAAAACAGCCCATCCCCCCCATAATGAGGTTGGTACATTCCACGAGCGATTCCCCGACGGGAGGGGACATCTCCATTCATAAATACGGGTGGCTATGAATGCTTAAGCAGAAGGAGGGACTGGATTTTCAGTAGGCGCTGGGCCCTAAGAAAGGAACCCTGGCCCCGAGAGCCTGGCTGTGCATTTGTAATCCGATGCATTTCGGGTCTCTGCTACCGTTCGGAATACTGCCCCCAGACCTGCAGTGCTCCCGTGCTGAGTCCCTCGGTCTCGGTTACAGCACAAGGAAGAGAGCGGCGACTAATTGTCTGCAAGAGATTCGAGTTCCCCCAGCCTTGGGGTGTCTGAGAGCATTGCGGCATGACTGGCCATTTGCAGCCCCCCTGTGCGCTCCCACTGGGCCGTTGTGTGGATTCCCAAAGCTTTCGGGCCTGCCCCGTAGAGCAGCAAGGGAGACCCAGCCTGTCCCTGTGATGCCACTTTCTCCCAGGAGAATTGGGACGCGCAGCTGCTCCCGTTCCAGTTCTCGGCTCGCGTCTCAGGGGGCTGTGTGCGTTCCTTTGCCTCGCCCACGGTGTCTGATCCCCCGGACGCTCAGAGACACTGATCTTTCCTGAGCCCCGACACAATCGAGGTAACAAAAGACGATGCCCCGCGACATGCCAGAGTTCAGGCTCCGCCCACTCCAGCGGCTACTTTTAGAGGAGTCTCGGGCCCCTACTGCTCAGGCCACGTTGGCCCGACAATTGGTTTTAACTCAGGTGCCCAGTGCAACAGGCTGATGTTTAAAATAGTCCCCGCCCCCATCTGTCTGTTTGCAACAGTTGCTGAACAAGGGCACAGAACACTACTCCTATCCCTGCACGCCCACCACCATGCTGCCCCGGAGCGCCTACTGGCACCACATCACCGGGTCGCAAAACATCGCCGAGTCCTCCAACTATGCTGGTGAGTGTCCCCGCAGCTCCCCTGACTGTCCCGCTCCGTGGGCTCCCCCTTCCCCATCTCCCAGAGTGTCTCCGACCGCCTCTGCCGCAGGTGCTGTTTTGTGTGGGAAGCTTTCCGTGCTCCCAATCCCAGCATCCACCCAAAGACACGGTTGGGGGAATGCAGCCAGAGCGCTGGCAGTCACTCCAGCCCCCGATTCTCCCAGTGGGCTGTGGGGCAACACTGGCCAGGCAGGAGCCTCCTGCTACTCCAGCCCCTTCCAGCAGGGGGCGATGTAGAGATTACCGCAAGGACACTGGTGGGGAAGGTGCTCCCCAGGCCTGCAGTCCTAGCCGCTCCCTGCAGGAGGCGCCAAAGAGCACACTTGAGTTTTCTTACTGGGCTACAAGGACAACATAGTACAAATACGAACTAAGGCCGTCAAATATCGGTTAAGTGAATAGTCGAGTAATTCTTATCGGTTAGTTGATTATTCTGTAGTCCCCAGGGGCAGGGCTGGCAGCCAGCGCGCTCCGGCCCCACTCCCACGGAGCCCCCTTCTCCCCCGCGCTGCTGCCTCTCTACCAGGCGGGAGCTGGTCCGCAAGGGGAGCCAGTTTAAAAACCAGCTCCCCGTCACCCTGTGCTGCTGCCTCTGATAGAGAGGCAGCAGCGTGAGGTGCCAGCAGCCCGTCTAGGGGGGTCTGAGCTCCCGGACCCGGTGCGAGCCAGGCTGCCTGCCCGCCTGGCTCCTAATACGCTTTCAATGCAGAGCCGCAGCGGGGGTAGGTCCTGGACCCGGCGCGAGCCAGGACTGAGTCGGGCTGCTGGCCAGCCTGCTAAAAAATGTCCTGGCAAGGTGCGGGGAGGAATATGCACGTCGTCTATAGCACTAACCCATGAGCATTTGCTTATCGGTTAGCCGACTACGCTACTCCATCCCTAGTACAAACCTCTGCTTTGTCTGCAGGGGAAGTGTACTCCGGGGCCCAGGCCAGCTCGGACACAGACCTCCTGAACAGGTTCATCTTACTGAAGCCAAAGCCTGCAAAAAGTGGCAAGAGTGACAACAAAGAATCCAAGTCTGCTTCTCAGTGACCGTGCTCTGGAGTGGAGAGCCCCGCCCCGGGGCCAGGCCGTGCTGGAGAAAGGGGGCGCGAAGTGCAGGAGAGATTTGTTTTCCAGCGCTCCCTCCCCTCCTTTCCTGAGAGTGCAGAAGTTCTGGGAAGCCTCCCCGCTCTTCGGAGAAGTTATCAGCGCTCCTGCCTGCAGGGAAACAGAGCGAGACTGCGTCCTGTGTGCCGGGCAGGAGACTGGAGGTCGAGGGGATGGCCCCGGGGGCCCTGGCCGTGCCGTTTCACCAGACTGAGCAAGAGGAGCTAAGGAAAGGGAAGACGGCGACTAGCTCGATGTTGTTAAATGATTTTAAACATATATTGCTACTACGTATTCTATATTACGAGATTTTCCTTCTCACTCGAATGCAGATTTCTTAGACATTGGGACGAGGAGACACCGGAGACCTTTAATTCTTGGGTGGATGGATCTTTCTTTTATTTCTTCTTTAGGGCGGCGTCACAGGGGAACCGCAGCCACAGTTGGAGTAGACTCCCCCACCCCCCGCTGGGAAGGGACGATCCCCAGCAAGGCTCACAGCGGAAGGACCGAGTTTTCTCAGGTAGCCGGGGGGTGGAGGTTACTGCTGGCTGCCGGTGGGAACAGTGAAGCGTCACTCGAAGCGGAGCAGCTGATGTGAACGTTTTGGAGAGTCTGCAGCTAATCCGGCTTGTTCTGTTGGGACCAGACTGGCCCCCAGGAGTCCCAGTTGCTGGCCAGGCTGAGACTGAATCCGCTGGAGAGGAGGAACGGGGACTCGCCCGCCTGCGCTCGCTTGGCACCGCTCGGCGCACAGAACACACGCACAGTCCAACTGTTTGACATCTCAGGAGAAACTGGTTTTCCTTGCGAACTGCAACTTCGGCACAAACGCCCCCAGCTTCCGGAGGGGGCGCCTTCGATGGGCTGGGGAGCGGGTTTCCGCTGCATTGGCTCCGTCTCGCCGCGGGGCTGCAGTGAGGATCACCCCCCAAACCAAGGCCTTCTCTCGAGAGCGAGCCAAAGCACAGCAGTTTACTCATGAAGGAGAGGGTGTATATACGAAGCCGCCCCATTTTAGCACTGGCTGGCAGGGCTACCCCTCCCACCTGTCTAACACAGCCATTCCTTACTTTGCTACCCAGCCCCTGCCCAATCGACCTGTTTGGAAGAGCCGGCCCGGCTGGGATGTGTTCAGGCTGAGACGTTCCCTTCGTACCTCCCCAGGAGGGCCAATGGCAAAAGCTGAAATCCCATTGATTGACCAATCAGAGACACAGTTGGTCATGTGACTTCCTCCCCACTGCCTCCTCATAAGGGGGACTGCTTTTAGCCGACGGCGTGGGACCCTTCAGTCCCACGTGGGGCCCCAGGGTTTCAAGGTGGGGTTGCTATCAAGGCCCATGTCAATCTTCCTTCTGGCTCCTCCCTCCCTCGCCATGAAAGTTGGTTTCACTATGCCGAAATCCAATCAAAGCAATTGATTTTCTAGTTCTATTTACTGAATACCTTTCAGAAGGGCTATCTTTTTATTGTCGTACCCACGCTGGGGTTTCCTCCGCTGGGGTGGGGGGCAGGTACTGTCTCTGGCTGGGGGAGACCCTGCGGCTATCACCTGTACATACTTGTGTTCTGGTTGTGCGTGTAGATGGTGTGTAAGACAGCGAAGGCCTTTCAGGCAGATCTGCTGGAACAGCCCCTGGCACGCAAGAGCAGCGACTGCCCGAGCTGCCTTGGTGGTGCGAGCCCCACCACATTTGGGCTGTGTCTACACTCGTGGCTTCTTGTGCGAGAAACATGCAAATGAGGCTAAGCGTGGAATATCGCCGAGCCTCATTTGCATACCTGATGAGCCGCCATTTTTGCAGAAAAGGCCTTTGCGCCAGAAGGAGCTGTCTACACTGCCCCTTGTGCAAGAAAACCCCTCTTGCGCAGTGCCGCTATTCCTGAAAATAATCAGTCACGGCATTGTGCAAGAGGGGTTTCTTGTGCAAGGGGCAGCGTAGACGGCTCCTTCTGGCACAGGAGCCTTTTCTGCAAAAATGGTGGCTCATTAAGTATGCAAATGAGGCGTGGCAATATTCCATGCTTAGCCTCATTTGCATATTTTGCACGCAAGAAGCCACGAGTGTAGACAGAGCCTTGGTGTCCTTTTTCCTGCGACCCTTGTCTGGAGTGACAGGAACCAGCCAGCGTCAAGCCTGGAGGCCCTACCCTGAGGACTAGTGGGTCAGATGAGTTCAGTGGAGGGAGGGCCTCACAGATGAGGTGCAGCTGGGTGTCAGCTCCTCCCCTAACCCCCCTGCTGGGTGCCCTGGCTATTAGCTCTCTCTTTAGGCACTAAGGTAAAATGCTTTTTGTTCAGGCTGCGGCAGCCCCCGCCCTCCGCTGCTCTAGTCAGTGCTGGCCCATGGGAATTACAGAGAGTTGCCCCAGGCGAGGCTCTGGCCCCGTCCGTGCCTTCGAAACACAGCTGCAGAGACTTTGAAACGTGTCGGTCAGGCTAGAGCCCGAAGGCCAGGCTCTCCCAGGGGGTCAGAGGCATGGCCAGGGAAAGCGTGGGGCCGCGAAGCACCGGAACGGGGGAAGGAGCTGGTTGAAACCAGGCTGCCTCAGGAATTGGATGCAAAGGTGGGTTAAGCCAGGCCGAAGGGACCTAGCAGGAATTGCCAAAAATGGTTTTTTTTAAAGGAACTGCTTGGTCAATAAACAAACTTTACTCACCCTCCCTGGTTGTCTTGATGTGTCCACTAACTCCAGCCACGTTAGCGGGTGCAAGGAGGGACACGTAGGAATAACGGGGCAGTAAAGACAAACGTACTAAGCAGCAGAGAGGGCAGCCTAATTTGTCACATGCTACAAGGCTACACTGGAAAGGGCCATTACACAGACTAGTTCAAATAAAGCCTCAAAGCAAGGGGAGGGGGAGGAAAAATGAGGCAGAGGTTGGCTTTTCCAGATTGAGTGCCCCAGGGTTAAGGGTCTATGTAATCATAGGGCTAGAAGGGACCTCTAGAGATCAAATCCAGGCCCCTGCCCTCAGGACGGGTCCCCACACCACCGGCTTTAAAAAAATCTCTACTTGGGGAGATTCCACAACCTCCCTAGGCAATTTATTCTAGTGCTTAACCACCCTGACAGACAGGACGTTTTTCCTAATACCCAATGTAAACCTTCCTTCCTGCCACTTAAGTTCACTGCTTCTTATCCCATCCCCAGAGGTTAAGGTGAATAATCTTTCTCCCTTTTCTTTGTAACAGCCTTTTAGCTATTCGAAAGTCTCTTTTCCAGACTAAACCGACCTTTCAGTCTTCCTAGGTCATGATTTCTAGACCATTAATCATTTTTGTTGCTCTCCTCTGGACTTCCGTGTTTCCTGAAATGTAGCTCTCAGAACTGGGCCCAATACTCCAGAGCTGTGTCTACATTGGCAATATTTTGCACAAAAGTGACCGCTCTTGCGCAAAAACTTGCTGCCTGTCTACACTGGCCGCGAGTTCTTGCGCAAGAACACTGACGTTTTATTATATGAAATCAGGGCTTCTTGCACAAGAACTATGATGCTCCCGCTCAGGAATAAGCCCGTTTGCTCAAGAGGCCAGTGTAGACAGGCAACATGAATTTCTTGCACAAGAAAGCCTGATGGTTAAAATGGCCATCAGAGCTTTCTTGCACAAGAGAGCGTCTACACTGGCATGGATGTTCTTGTGCAAAGGCACATGCCCGTGGAGATGCTCACTTCTGGAAGAGTTTTTGCACAAGAACGCTTCTGCAAAGGAGTTCTTGTGCAAAATCATGTCACTGTCGACAGCCCAGTTGAGCTGAATCAGCGAAGAAGGACTTCTCATGCGTTACTTAGAGACACTTCTGTTCTGCAGCCAGTGAAATGCTCCAAGAGCAGCTGAGGCCTCGTGGCTCTTGGGCCATGAAGAGGGAATTTTCAGAAGTACATGAGCGACTTGAAAGACACTGGAACTTGTGGGCCTGAGCCCTTTAGAGGCTGCTGAAAGTTACCTGCTTCCAGAGGGCTGAGTGGCCAGAGCTCCTCCCGCTCTCCTGGGCAAAGATGCGACCTCCTCTTTTCAGAGGCCAAGAAGCTGAGTATCCCCTGCCAAAGCCCAGTTACCCGCAGAGCCCGCCACGATTTGCAGGGCTCTGGCGACCCAGCGTGTGTCATGGCAGCTCAGAAGTAGCACAAGCTTCAGGGGAAAGCTCAATTTCAACCCCGGCCAGAGGCAGTGGGGCCCAGCCCAGACCCACGGGTTCCACTCGGCCCCACACGTTTAAGTGGCTCTCGGCCCATTTCCATCTCCGTTTATCGTGGCCACTGCACTAGGAAAGCCCCCGTCCACGCCTGGACTCATTACAAAGTGCCGCTTACGTCTCTCCTCTGCTGCCCACAGGCTGCAAAGGACACTGCTTCGGGGCCTCTAACGGCCAGCAGGGTTACAGTGGTGGGGGGAGACCAGGAGGTGGCTGCTGCTGACCGAATCAGAAGACAGATGCCCAGCGACCCCCCCTCTCTGCTGTAGAATGCATTGTCCTACATACCCCCGGGGAGTCTCAATCCAGCCCTGCCTCCTGTAGCAGCGTAGTACGGGGCGGTCTCCTGAGATCGTGTGGAGAGCAGCCCCCCTGCACAGCAGGCCTCAGGCAAGTGTGTGGGACCTCTCACCCCTCGCAGCCCCAGATCAGCTGTCCGGGATGGCTGAACACAGGGAAAGGCCTTTATTCAACATGGTAACAAACTAGATACAGTCGTGCAACTGACCCTTCCCAGCCCCATCCGGCAGAGCGCGCCAGCAAGAGCTGGGGTCATTCAGATTCCCTCCCCTCCATGCATTGCCATCAAAATTACCACAGCCAGGTCTTGCGGGGGCCAGCTGGGCCTGTCACCGCCCTACAGAAGCCTCACCCCAAAACCAGCGACTGCTGGGCTAGGGGGGCGTGGCCGGGAGGCTGTTTCAATACACATCACAGCCCCATCTGTTCAGTGCTGGGAAGACTCCGCACAGAAGGAGCAGGGCCTGGCCCCAGGCAGCGCCAGGAACCCTGCAGTACATGGGGGAGACTTGGCTGCAACGGGAGGGGCTTGGGGAAAGGGGCAGGGCTCAGTTGATAGTCAGGACGTCGCTCTGGATCTCGTGACTCAGCTGGGTCTGCAGGTCGCTCAGTTTCTTCTTCAAGCCAGAGAGCGCAGACAGAACGATGGTCTCCGGCCGCAGGGAGCCGCAGGACTCCACGTTGTAATAAAACCTGCGGGCACGAGAGGAAACGGAGATTCTCTGCATCAGGGCCGTGTACCGGAGGGAGAGTCTCTGCAAAGTGTTTCCACCCTCTTACGTGTCGTGGCAGGGCGATCTCACTGGGAGTCAGAGCTGGCCCAGGCACACGCAAGCATACAGGCGCTCAGAGCGCTTTCCCTAGGAACGCCTGTGTCTGCGCACGGTCGCCACGCAGCTCGCTCACCCAGCGCCTGGCGCACCAGGGCTCACGTCTGCCTGGGACCACGGCGACTTTGGCCTCACAAATCGCTCCCTGTCATTTCAGCAGTGACAATGGGGATCGCAGCGTGTCGCCGGCCCTCTGCACTGATGGGTCCTACACACCTCGGCCTGGCCTGAGAAGGGTTAATGAGCCTCTGGGGGCTTAATCCGCCCCGTCAGCCGAGAGGAGGCTGGGACAGATCACAGACCCCGTGCGCTCGCTCCTGAGGGCCAGGCCAGGCCAGGGGAAAGCAGGCCTGGCGCAGGACTCCTGGGTTGATGTGGGTACCTGTGGCAGTTGTGTCTATTGTCCTGCCTGGGAGCAGCTCGGGGTCTGAGGCAGATCACTGTGGTTGGGGGATCGCGGCAGCGGATACTCCTCCTGCGCCTCGTCCCTCCCCACCCCCTCAGGAGAGGAGGCCACCCACAATGGTCCCGCCCAGCTGCAGCGTGGAAGGCCTCCTGAGAGAGACTCACCGGATCCCAGTGCTGATAGCTCACAGGCAGGCCTGCTGGCCGGGGGAGGGTGGCAAAGGGGACAACTGCCCTGGGGCTCCCAGGTGCTGATGTGCTCTTGGTGCAGCAGCAGCAGCCCAGCCCCTTTAAATACTCCATGGAGCACCACGTGGCATGCTCCGGGCAGCCCGGCACGTCTGTCGGCCACGCTCTCTGGAGGGAGAGGTCAGCCAGTCCTGGCTGCTGTTTGGCTACTCCACCAACTGGCCCCAACCCAGGAAACAGCAGCTCCCAAGTCAGGCGACTTGTCTGCAAATCAATGAACCCCTCCCAAGGGCCAGACTGGAAAAGGAGGCACTGCCAGGTGACCTCTGGAAACGCCCCCTGCTCCTAGCACTGCAGCAGCCAGCTGGCTTCTTACCGCTCTGGCTTTCCATTGGGGTCATACGGCGCCTGGGCCTCGTCTTCGTCAATTTCAGAGTATTCGCTCTTGGGCCTAGAATCAAGCACAGCAATTAAGGTCAGTGCGAGAACCTGCCACTGCATTTTGGGTGGCAGTTTGGCCCCCAAACCTGTACGCAAGTGGTCACATTCACATTCTGGAGTCTGGTTTGTCCTGCGGACCCCCAGGTTTAACCTCACTTCCAAACGACTTGCTTACAAAACCAGACAAATATACAAAGGTGTCCTAGCACAGTATTACCAAAAAACTGCTTCCTTGTATTTTTACCATCATTGGAAAATCAGTTGGAACACACACTGAGATGTAGGTGCACGGTGTCTCTCACAGAGCAGTATAAACACGTCACTGTAGGAAATTGTAGCTTGTACTGACTCTGCTAGAGGTTCTTCTGTAGCCTGTTTGTCAGACTGAGCAAATATCTAGATAAACGGATGAAGATCTCTGCTTACTCCCTGGGTTCACATCCCCCGGCTAAGAACCACTGCCGTGCGTCTTTCCCAACCTGGGGGACACGCCTGCCCGTAGAGAAGGCAGTGGTCCCTAGAAGCCATGCATTTGTGCGGCTGATCAGGATAGATTCAAACGCCGCCCAGCTGATTAGCAGAGTGCCCAGGGCTGGGTTTTAGTTCTGCTGGTGGTGCACATTCACACACGCCTTGAGGCACATAAAATGTATTCTGCACCTGGATGAAAAAGTCTAGAGGACATCTTAGCACAGGAGAGGACTCAAGAGAACAGGGAAAGGACCCAGCTCCTATTGCACTCAGGCGAAGTCTACACTGTGAAAAAACACCCTCCCAAGCTCAACAACTTACAGTGCTTTAGTGTCAGCGTGAACCAAGCTACGGTGGCAAAAGCCACACTCATGGCGCTGTTAGCTACTCCCCTTGCAGAGGTGGCTGACTAAAGCGCTCTCCCTCTGCTTGTGCCAGGGCCACACTTGCAGGTTAAAGCGCTGGCGTGGTTGCACACTCCACTGTTAAACGCAGACAGAATCTCAGCCTGCAAGTAAACTACCAAGTACCCGACAGCTGTTGCATTAAGAGCCACTCCTCTGTGGGAGCAGCTCACAAGCACAGGGCAGCTGCCTGCCAACCCACGTGCCTCTTGTCTGCTCTGCTCCCACTCAGCTGGGCCTTTGACTGGCACCAGTGGTTAGTCCTGCCCTGCAGGAGCACGCAGCCTTGGCTGGGTGTGTGGGGCATGAGGCTGTCAGGAAGGGGAGCCGGGGAGAGTGTCCATTCAGAAAAACAGAAGTACTAAGATAAAAGGGACAGGAAATGCGGAGACAGCAGCAGCTGTGCCAACACGAGGTTGGGTGGGAAGGGTGCCCACTGGCCAATCCACACCATGGGCAGCTCCAAAAAAATAACTGGGAAACACGACTCGGTAAATACAGACCTATTCTAGCATCGCGTGGGAGTCACTCTGCCTGGGGGAGAAGGCGTTTTCATTCCAATCCCCTTTTCAGTTGCTTACCAAATTCTCACACATTACATCGGGGACTCAAACTTGACCAGCTTTGGAAATGACGAGAAAGCAAGTTCCATCTCCAGGGCATCCCCGCTGTAAGTCGCAGCGATATACAACCGTTCCACACTAAATCATTGGTGCTTGTAGGAACAGACATGTTCTAAGTCCTCCTATTCACCACTTTTAAGTCGTGCAAAAACCCTCCTCATTGCCCAACTGTGGGGAAAAAAATCCCCACTTTAAGTTGTTTCGCTATAAGTCCAAGTTTTTTGGAACGTATCTTGGACTTGTAGCGAGGACGGTCTGTAGCCTGCAGTGAATGCATGTGTTTGACTAAGAACACTCAGAACTGGTGACGCTAACGCTGTCAAATGGGGAGCACCCGGAGCAAATACTGTGGGAATCTCTTAGCGGTCGATGCTGCATTAAGCTCGAAACGACCACCTTTACTGAAGGAGCGGTACAGATTCTGTGGGAATCCTAACTGTAAGCAAACCCAAGACTCATGGCTTTAATTTCGCAGCCACAGTGCTGTATTAATGGAACATTTCCCCTTGGATGCAACCATTCATGCCACTCCACCGACACGATTCTCAAACCAGAACGTACCATTCTTCCGGCTTGGGGTAGACCGTGTGTCTCAGCGCATTGTCTGGGTCGTACTCAAAGGCTACTCCTGCCGTAGGGTTCCACTTGGCATGTTCCTTGCCAAACCCCTTCTTGGCATAGGCTCGCAACCGCAGCTCCTGGCCTTTCCGTAACTTGACAATGAGGATGTCTGGGAAGCACAAACACTGCGTCAATGGGCGTGGGAGCGCAGCTGCGGAGGAGAAGTCAGCGCTCGGCTGCAGGCTTGCATGTGAGTTACGAGTGATTGGGGAACTAGCAGTGCCCAGGGAAATCTCCTCAACTGGAACTTATTTACCGTCTTAGCAGGGTTCATTCGCGCCCTGCAACTCCCGCTTAGGGATGTTAAATTTAGAGTAATAGACTAATCCAATAGTCAATGTAATTTGCATGAACTAGTCAATCAGTTGATAAGGGCACCTCTGCCTTTGCAGCATAGCAATAGCTCCAGGGCTCAAGCAGTCCCCTGCTGGCCCCATGATTTCTGTGGTGTTTCAAAGTGGCAGCGCCACATGGAGCCCCAGCTCTGAGCCCCCAGCTGACCCCGGGCTTCATGTGGCACTGCCGCTTTGAAACGCCGTGGCGAGCGTAGGCTAGGAATCCCCAGGCTGCATGCAGCGTTTCAAAGCACCAGACTCAGGGCTCCATGTGGCGCTGCTGCTTTGAAACGCCGCGTACAGCTCAGGCCAGCTGCTGCTTTGAAACACGCCCTCTTCTGCCCCTATGCTTTCTGCCGCTTTCTGATCGAGGCAGCAAGAAGGGGTGGGGGAAGCGACTAATGTCTCGACTACCGGTAAGCATCTGTTTACTGGATAGTCGACTCGTTCACATCCCTGCTCCCACCAATGGAAAGTGGAAGTTGCATGCGTGGTCGAGGGCATGATTTGGCCCTTAGATCACAGCAGATGGGGAGAAGCTGTTTTTGGATCTTCGCTGTAATACAGAGAAGAGAAAATCTCCTTTACCCCCAGGCAAACACTAACCCAAAGTTGCAGTCAATGCTGGATTCACACCTGTCTCCTGGAACAAAAAGTTAACCCTGCAACACTGGCATTTCCATATTGCCACCACTGGCTGTCTGTGCCACATCTGTAACAGCACCAGGGTTAAATGACTAGTAACTAGGGGCAAGGAGCCCAAGAGAAAAATCGGCTTCTCTCTGCAGCTCCTCTGTACCGTGTCTCACTCACCATCCTGCTCCACATAGTCATTGGGGTCGTTGTCTCTGCTCCGGGACGTCACCTGCAAAGAGCAAGACACAGATGATGTCACTCGGAGACCAACCCCTGCTCCCCACTTCCAATCCTGGGTTACCCACTAAACTGTTGCAAACAGTGTCTGCAGCAAGGGAAAGGGAGGTTACCTGTTTGGCAAAACTTTCTAATGACGAAGATCGTTAAACCTGTGAATTGGCTTCCAAATAAGACTGTGAAATTCTGTTCATTGGAGCATTTTTCAGAATAGGTTGCACAAAAACCAATCTAAGCTTCCTCAGTCGTGCTGCAGCACAGGAGGAGGGATTAGAGGACTTCTCCTGGTCCCTTCCAGCCCAACACATCTATGATTACAAACACTGGCCATCTACTGAATTTTAGTGGATCAGTTCACGACCAAGGATGTGAATTTTTAACCGGTAAACCTTACTCAAGCCTGGCCAAAGCAGCCCCTGCCCGTGGCCAGTAGTGGGAGGAGGAGCGCGCTCCAGCCCCCCTGCTTGCCTGTTTAATTGGTTAACTGGTTAAACAGCATTTAACCTGCTAACTAATTAAACTGGATTTTACATCCCTATCCTGGACCACACCTAAGCTGGTGGTTTACAGTGAGGATACAGAGCCAAGTCTTTCCAATCAGTGTCCTCATATTATAAGATGACCAAGCGGGTCAGTTTGTGAGCCAAACGTGACCCCTGTGGTACCACAACATATCACAGAGAACATAAGAACGGCCAGACTGGGTCAGACCAAAGGTCCATTCAGCCCAGTATCCTGTCTGCTGACAATGGCCAATGCCAGATGCCCCAGAGGGAGAGAACACAACAGGTAATCCTCACCTGCTCCCCCCGTCCCCCACCTCCACAGAAACAGAGGCCGCAGACACCATCCCTACCCATCCTAGCTAATAGCCATTGATGGACCATGAATCTATCTCGCTCCTTTTCAAACCCTGTTAAAGTCGTAGTCGTCACCACATCCTCTGGCAAGGAGTTCCACAGGTTGACTGTGCACTGAGGGAAGAAAAACTTCCTTTTGTTTCTTTTAAACCTGCTGCCCATTTAAGAGCTGCTCTATCTAATATGGAGGTTCAGCCTGCAGGCGATAGATGCAGCATGCAGTGCCTCAACACAATCAAAATAGCATGGATGCTCAGAGAACAATTCAGCACGGTATTTTTGAAGAGGAAAACATCTGTAATCTACTCCATTTTGTGAAAACCGGGGCAGCCGTCACGCTCCTCAGCTGCGGCTAGGCAGCGCGGATTTAGTGGTATTTTAAAGACTAGCCCCCACCAAATCCCTCTGAGCGCCTTGGACTCTCTTAGCTTCCTTCTCAGGGGCCTGACGAGCCATGGGGCAATGATGCCTCATCTGAGGTACCGCTGCCACCTAGCACTGCGCAGGGCCAACAATCAAACCTGCAGGCAGCTGATTTCCTGCCAGGGTGTGGAAGGTTTTCAGACAGCCCTTCCAATGGAACCCAATGGTGAGATGGCCGAGGAAGAACTTGGCAGTGGCTGACCAGTATCTTATACTGACCGGTATAACCCGGGGGTTGTTGGAGATGAGATCCCGGGATGTCACGTGACGAGTCTGGTCTTCATTACACCGGACATCCAGGGTAAACTCCACAGAACACTCTGGACAGAACTCATCACATGTACAATCCTAGGGAGAGGGGTAAGAAACAGGCCCAGTCAACCAAAGCTCTGCCAATGATCCCATGTCAGATCCGACCATTCTACCGCCCTTCCCCCTGCCCTCTCAATGAGTGCTTGGCGTATCTCTTAACTCACCCTGGAATACTGCAGCTTATCCACAATGTCATCGCTGGTGAGTGGGATCAGGCCTGTGGGGACAGAACGGTTCGTTTGGGAAGGGGCAGACAGGACATTTAAGCGATACCAACCTCCAGCATCTCACCATCACAAAAGGTCCCATCAACAATTAGAGACTGAAAAAACCATCTGGGTCAGTGTAACAGCATGTGCCGGTGTAAGAGGGTAAAATACAGTCTGTAAGGTGGATGCACAGTTGGCTGAAATACTCCACGGAGCATAGTTAGTTGTGGTTTGATGTCAAACTGGGAAGATCTAATCCGGTGTCCACCTGGGTCTGGTACTAATCAATATTTTCATGTATTGCTTCCACGGAGCAGAGAGCATCCTTCTAAAATCTGCTTGTTGCAAGCACTTTGGAAGAGAGGCTTACAATTCAGGAAGATCTTCATAAACTGGAGATTTGGGCTGAAGTCAACAAGAGGAACTCAGACTAGTGTAGCGCTCTGCACGCAGGAGGAAAAGAAATCTAACGGCCAAACATAAAATGAAGGCTCAGAGGCTGGCCAGTAGTACTACTGAAAAGGACCTGGGAATTATAGTACATCACAAATCAGCCAGCAGTGTGTTGTTGCTGCTGCGGCAAAAAAGTGACTGTCATACGGGGCTGTATTAACCAAGTGTCATATGTAAAACACGGGAGGTAACTGCGTCGCTCTGCAGCGACTGTGTCCAGTTCTGGGCCCCATGCTGGAAGAGAGTTGTGGACAAATTGGAGGGGGCCTGGAGGACAGCAACAATGCTGAAGAAAGGTTCTAGAAAACCTGACCTATGAGGAAAGGTTGAAAGAACTGGTCATGAGTAGTAGGGATGTAAAATCCCACCTAATTGGTTAACCAGTTAATATTTAACCTGTTAACTGATTAAAATGGGGGCAGGGTTAGGGTGCTCCCCTGCCATGCCTCCACCGATTAACGATTAAGGAGGAGGCTCAGCAGGTAACCATCCACATCCCTAACGATTAGTCAAGAGAAGACTGGAGGAAGGGGAAGGAAACTGACACAAATCTTCAAATGCATGAAGTTCAGTTAAGTCGGCAGCTCATAACTCCCCAGAATAGGGTAAGAGGTAATCTGCTTAGTCTGCAGCCAGGGAGATTTAGGTGAAATATTAACTTTCCTTCTAGTTAGGGCCCCTGTAATTCCAGGGTGGCTCCCTCCTGTACATTGTAGACATATGCAGGGGCCAGAATGATTTTCCTTCTTTCTTCAAGATGTTGGCTACTCACCCAATCTGTGCGCAATGAACTCGTCGTGCAGCACAGACGAGTTGGCATCTATTTGGACCCAGTCTATTGCTGTGAACAGAACAGAAACAAGTCATCAGAGCAGCAGAAAGACACCAAGTTCGTGGTGCACGTACCCCCATGATGACGCATTGTTTCACAGAGACTGAAAAGCGCGGATGGTCTTCGCTCCCATGCACTAAACCCAATGAAAGTGCCTAACCCAGGGGTCGGCAGGCAACCTATGGCACTTGTGCCATAAGTGGCACACAAGCCAATTTAGAGTGTAACACAGCAGGTGCTCAGCCCCCCCCACAATGCATACAGAGGTTGTGTGTCGGGTGGCCGCGGCTCTGGTGGCCCCAGCTGGGGCTAGAGTCAAAGGCCGCGTGTCGGGTGGCAGTAGCCCCTGCCAGGATGTGGGCTGATCCTGCCAGGCTGGAGCAATCCTGCCTGTGGTGCACCAGGCCCCACAGAGCTGGAGCAGCTGCTGAGTATAAGTAGTAAATATCACCCAGCAAGGGCGATGTTCACCATTCACATCCCGATTTGGAACAGGAGTCTCATAGTTGGGCTTTACTGTTTTATATTGGGGTGCGCGCGCGCTAAGCTGGCTTTTGTTTTTAAGCCACCCACCTGGGGGCCTTTTTGTAACTTTTACAAGATTTTAAGTATGAAGTGTTATTTTTTGTACTGTATAGGAGATATAGAATATTTTTATGATATTATTTTATAATTATTGTATGATTTTTTTATTGTTTTAGTTGCTGTATTATTGAGAAAGGGATTCAGGGGGGTTATTTTCGGTTTCTCTTTTTATCTTTACTTATTTTATGTTTAAAAAAAAAGGAACTGTGAAAGCATCACAGGAGAAGCCGGAGCCAGAGCGGAGCCCAGGGCAGGAGACCAAGCAGGATGCGAGGTGGAGAGGGCCCCTCCCAAGACAGGGGTGTGGCCCAGAGCAGGAGGGTTAAATCTCTGCACACCACTTAGGCTGCCGACCTCTGGACTAAACGTTCGAGGCACAGGTAGGTGAGCAGCCCCCCGCCCTCAGATATGAAGAGCACAGGGCAGCCTGGCACAGGTGAGACTAGCTGGGAGCGCAAGGAACAGTGCTAAGGGCAGCAGATGGAGGCTAAGGTCCTGCCTGCAGGCCACTTAGGCGAGTGAGTCCCAGCTCAAGTACCACGTGCGCTAAAAGCCACAGTGTGGCCACGGCAGCACAGCTGACAACGGTCTTAGTCCAAGCGAGCGGTTGGGACTGCACTCAGCTGGCTGAGCCACAGCCTCTGCCACGGCGTCCACGCTGCTATTTTCAGCGTGGTCACTCAAGCAGAGCTGCCCACCCGAGGGGGATCCTCCTCCTAACTGCTGTACAGATGTTCCCCTACGGGATTTTCTTCGTACACAGACAGCAAAAGCCAAAGTGAGGGGAAAATACCTATTATGGGAACTTCAGCTATAAACACTCTTCGGATGGAGTTTGCGACCCTGGAACAGAGGAGAAAAGGCAGCATTGAGACACTGAGACACACAAGCAGCGAACTTCCAAACGCTTTTAATCCCATGCAAGAGCGAGCGAGCCCTGAGCAGGTACCCTGAGCTCAGCTAACACAAGCTATACTCAAAGCAGAGCTTACTGCGAGGACAGGGAGTCTCTTCCTCTCTACTCTGATATCACATCCACCATTATAGTATCTGAGGGTGTGTCTACACCAGGCCTGAGCGCCTTAAGATGCGAGGTTTCCTCTAACTAGACATGGCCAAAGTGCAACCTGCCATGCCCAATACCTGCTTCCAGGGTCGTCTTCATTCCCCAATCCGCTACAACTAGATTTGTTTGCTCCTGCTTTATTGATCGAGCAAACCTGCGCCTAATGCTACTGCCCTTCACGAATAGCTGGCAGCCTATGAACACAGCCCCGAGCCTGACCACTCATGATAAGCGGTTCAATTGTATGGTCTCCAGTGCCCCCACGACGAGCCACCCCGGGTTACCGTGACTGCTGAATTCTCACACCAGCCTAGACTGCACTTGGCAATTCTGTACCAGGCCTTGGGAGCATGTCGGACTCTAGTGGGGCAGGCTGAACATTGGCCGAAATTAAAAATGGAGAGTATTAAATGAAATATGAAAATGTCTGTTCCCTCGCTCTCACCATAGAGAGGCCATTTATTTTACCTTTCCCTGATATTGTCACCATAGCGATAATGAAAAATGCATCACAGATTTTTCTTTGTCTGGAGGGGGAAGATGCTAGAGGTTTTGGCAGCCAGGAAGGGATAGCTGGTGTTTTTGGCACTTCGGAAGGCATGGGAGGCCGTCTGGGTTTGCTGGATAAGCTAACTGTTTTTGCTAAAACAAATCAGCTAAACGTGGCTACACAACACCGTTTTCAAATTCTGAAAAGTGGGGTAACAGCCTCCCGAAATAAACGGGGCAGTTCACGCCTCTCAGAGTAGGATTTCAAACTCTGCGAATTAGCACAGACAGCAACAGCTTAGATTAGGGATGTTAAATTTAGTTTAATCAACTACTCGACTAGTCGATAAAGGAGGCAGCCAGCCCCTGGAGCTAACCCCGCTGTGGCGCTGCCTTTTAAATATATTCAGAGCTAGCAGGCTCTCAATACGTTTAAAAGGCTGGAGCGCAGTGGGAGGACCTGGCGTGAGCCGGCAATCAGCTGCCCCAGCTCACGTGGGTCCCCCCTGCTGCGCTTCTGATTTTTAAATGTATTTAGAAAGCAGAGGCGCAGCGTATGGGACCTGGGGCGAGCTGATTCCCAGTCCCCACTACGCCCCTGCCTCCCGCGGAAATGCTGCTAAGGGAAGCGGCTTTTAAGCTGGCTCCCCCCAGCACCGGTTCCCCCTCCTTGCTGCCTTTTGCTTACCAGATAGTCGGCTCGTTGCTTACATCCCTAGGTTGGATCACATTTGTGTCCCGTATTTAAGTGGCAGGGGCAACAGGTTTGTAGAAATGTTGGTGGTGTCCAGAATGCCTAAAGCCTGCACTCCCTCCCCTCTCCAAACTTGCCTAAGGGAGGGTGTGGGTGAGAAGAGGTGCAGGCTCTGGGCTGTCAGTCTGGGTGCAAGAGGGGGTGAGGGTGCTCTGGGAGCCAGTTCGGGGTAGGAGAGGGTCTGGGGTGCTGGCTCTGGGACGGAGTCTGTATCCTGTAAGGGTTCAGGACGGGTGCAGGCTCTGGGAGTGCAGGGGTGTGTGTGGGTGCAAGCTCTGAAGGGAGTTTGGGTTTTGAAGTGGGTTCAGGAGGAGGGGAGGGGGACGCAGTTCTTTCCTGGGGCACCCCCCTCTGAAGGCAGGGGTAGGAGTGGAGATTTCCATGTGCTGCTGCCCACAGACACGGCCCTGCAGATTCCATTGACTGCTGGGGAGCTTGGGGCAGTGCACGGAGTACCCTCACCTACGGGCTGCAGGGACGTGCCAGCACCCAGGCAGAGCAAGCAGGTAGGAAGCTGCTCCAGCCTCACAGCGTTGTGGGTGGTGGGGGCTTCCGGGCCCTTTAAATTGCCCTGGTGCAGCAGGCAGGGGGTCAGGGAACACTCCAGGGTGGAAGGTGGGGCTGGGCAAGAGACCTGGCCCCGAACTTCACTGGAGCAGGGCCCTTGGGCAAGGAATATTCCCGGAGCCCAGGCCCCTGTTAAGGGTCCTTCCCAAACCAGGAAGCTGCTGTATTTTTCAGACAGGAAACAGACTCTGGAGTACAACTCTGGGGCCAACGCGGCAATGGCAAAACGAGGAGCGCACGGAGCACAGAGCCCAGGATCCCGGGAAAGATGTGAAACATACTTGTGAACCAGCCCTTCGAGCCAGGGCAGAGCCCCTGGGCCAGGGCGGGATTAAGGGGAATTTCCGTGTCTCTCCCCAGGCAAGGAAATAAAACTAAAACACCAAAACCCCAAGTAGCAGGCCCAATCTATGGCCCTGCACGGAGGGGGGGGGGGGAC